CTAGTTAGCTGTCTTCGATCATAGGTGTCTGCGTTCTATCACCCGTGTGAAGTAGTATTATAAATTGAGCAATATTGAGGTTGGGTATCGGTCGAGTGCTAGGTAAGAAGGGGAAATTAATAGACGAGGCTGCGGAATTACATCGACTGAGATAGTTAGGAAATGTGTTACGTATGCCTAGTCATCCCCTTCCTCGACAGTGGGCAATGTTAGCTGACTGACATAGGGTCAGGCTCGAAAAGAGCTAGTGGTGGTCAAACGAAGACATGGCACCAGTCAATGAAATCCACAACAGTTAGTTTCTACCCACGTAGGGAGCTGTAGACTTCCTGGTTGGGGTCCTTGGGCTGGAAACAATTGGTGATATGGCTCCAAGTGATCATTCTTAAGGGCTGGCTGTCGCAGATGCATCCGCTCCTTGTGACTTGTGATTTCCAATGAAACTGTATTGTTCTTTGTTATTACTATTCCTTTGTCTCACACCTCTGTTTACTGTCTCTATTATGCATTTCTTCTACTTCCTTCTCTTGCTTTGTGTGCTACAAGGAGGCAGTGTGGCGACTTGAACTGCGCACATATGTGCAAAGTTCTATGTCGAAAACAGACAGACAGACATATTCACATGATTAATCGCGAGTTGACGCGATTTAGAGAAATATTGGAAAACAACCAGGGAGTACTGGAAAGCTGTTCTGTCCTCCTCCTTCGGGACTCTTCAGGGGTACGCACCCACCCGGGGGCGAACCCAGGGTCTTCTGATTACGAGGCGGGCTTGTAGACCCCTTTAGTCACTGAGACTCAACCTAATGGTCTGTGAATTCCAACTTCTGCCAACCACCGTAGTGGAGAGGGCTCTCGAGTGGTTGCACCACAGAATTTGTGCCAAAGCATGCTAGTCTCGTCTAGCAAGAGTCAGGCATAGGCGTGTTCGGTTCTCCTGGTGAAAACTAATGTATAAATGCTCAGTCAATGGGTGTATCATTATTATATATTTTACGAATTACTCCTAAAATATATATTCAACCACTATTTTATTTGAAAGAAATTTACTGAGGATAAAACACGAAATGACATTGAATAATGTCTCCCTGTGTTCATGTTGCAAGGATTTCACTAATTTCAAGGTTGGATTAAGAACTGATGACTTCACAGTAAGAGAACCAATGAAAAGCAACTGGGAGTGAGGGCTAGACAACTCTTTCTTCCTTGTTTGAGAGAGTACACAGCAGTACTCATCCATGACCACCCCCACCCCCACTAGGAGGGAAACCGAATCCAGGACTTTCAGATTACAAGACGAGCTCGTATGCTATTGAACCACCATTTCTACTAATTCGCTCTGCATATAGCGCGACGGCCAGCCAGCCAACCAGTGTCATCCGTGGCGAATATTCCCCCTTATACTCGGCAACTTGGTCAACCCCGCTGACGGTCACAACTTCCCACTAGAATTCCACGTAAATTCATCCTGCAGTCAGTCATTAGTATGAACTAGTTTGAATTTTCAAGTATTAGTTTGCCCAAGGATCTGATTGATTTCCAGATTCATCACGAACTAGGTTGGATCCACAAACTTGAGATGAACAATTAATTGTCCAATGAGACTATTTCTTGACCACAATGCGTAAGCTAAATCCAGATTTGAGGAATAAACACTTTCACAACTACAACCAATATACTTAAAATTTTCAACTTGCGTTTATATACTACTGATAAGTCTTGTAAGTATCACACGCTGAAATGAGATTCACTAATTTTAAATCCATTACAGTCCTACAGGAGGTCAATCGCTAGCCCGAATAGCTCAATGGTAACGTCTCTGACTGCAGCTCTCACTGGGGGACGCGAGTTCGAACCTCAGAAGGAGGGACATGAGTTCCTACAAGGTCGCAGATAAGCCTTACTGACTGGTGAGTGCCAACTAGCATGAAACCTAGGTCAGGTAAGGCTTTCTGTGGCCGATTTCCTCCAACCACCTAATATCATCAAATCAATGTGCACTGTGATGGCGAGCTACCTAGAATGGTGATCATATTGCAAACTTGACTGGCTGAAAGAATTCAGTCTGCATCAAAGAAAGGACTAGCTAGGCACATCACACTAGTTACTAGTGTACAACGAAAGTATAAATAACTTTGCTTTTCAAGTGAACTACTGTAAGCCAACAGGATGTTCTGAACAGTTGTTTCATCTTTTTTGGGGAATTTAGTAGTACTTACCTCTGAAATCCTATTAGGACGCTTACGTTAAGAGGCGCCAATAGGCAAACATTAAACCACTGGGGGGAAATCCAACAACTCATGAATTTTTTCTCATCTACTCACTAGTGAGTGCGTCGGTAGCACAGTGGTTAGGACGCTTGCCGACCATGCACATGGTCCGGGGTTCGACCCCCGACCAACGCACTCCTTTACCTCGCTAAGCCAGAAATAAAACTGGTAAAGAGGAAAGGTTGGGCCAGTTGAGGCTAGCAACCACATCCTGTAAAAATAAAAAAGCACCGCTGCAGAAACTTCAAGCCACTAGCTTGAAGACCTATGTTTCACTGAGAACGTGAAGGAGTAAAAAAACTCACTAGTGACTGTGACTAAAGGATGAGCTTCTTATAATCCTAATAAGAAGTCAAAACTGGTTAGGTGGGTGGGGGGTCCACAAATTTGGAGTATAAGGAGGGATACTGATCAATGATGCTGTCTAGATATGGCTACCATTCCAGTGACTGTGAGAGAGTGGTCAACTGTTTGAAGATCCTAGTTTCAACTCGCTTCTAGGCTGATGGATGCGTCAAACTGAAGCGTCTCAGAGTGAAACAAGTCGCTGATCAGTAGTAGTATCCCCTCATCTCTTTAGGCGGCTTTTTTCTTCCTTCACGTTCCCAGTGGAACATAGGCCACCTTCAAGCTAGAGGCTTGAAGTTTCTGTAGTAGTGTTTATTTTTACAGGATGGGGTTGCTAGCCTCAACTGGCCCAACCTTTCCTCTTTACCAGCTTTATTTATTACTGGCTTAGTGAGGTAAAGGAGTGCGTCGGTGGCTGGGAATCGAACCCGGACCATGTGTATGGTCGGCGAGTGTCCTAACCGCTGTGCCACCGACGCACTTTTTTAGGCAGTGGTGGTTTAACTCATATTTCGTCCTGATTAAAGTATAACTTGAGTCTAATCCGACTTCTTTTTCATTTTTTTTTGTTTTGCTCAACAGGCTAGACGTGTATTCCTTACAGCTTGTCGCGCTTTACTTACCTGGCGTAATGAAGAGCCAGTAAATGATCATTGTGATCCAATTCCACCATCTGCATTCAATGCAAACACATTTATTGAATCAGAAATTAATCGATTAGATGCACCATTAGCTACATGGTTTAGAAATCGTCTATGCTTATTGCTGTATCCAAGTGATACAACAGGGAATATTCTACGAGGTATTGATCAACATTCTTCAATGACTAAATCACTGGTATCATCGTCATCGACTAGTCATGGTGCGGTTATCCCGTCGTCGAGAAGTTATAATGCTGCACTGACGTCTTCACCTTCAGCGAACAGTATTACTCAAAATCAAAATAATAATATTAACAGTAATGATAATAGTAGTAAGAATAAACATAAATATTCGTCAAGTCAAGCACAACAGCAGCACCAGCAACACTGTACCAACATCCTTCATAATTCTTCAACTTCATCTTCGCCTATTGCCTCGTCTATTATTCCAACGAAATTACCTCCGATCCCACCGCCAAGACGAGTGACAATCAACAACTTTGAATTAAACGATAATAATAAAAAGGATCTAGTTAATAAATATGATCCACTCAGGCATAACAATGAACAACGTGATCAAAATCCCGTGGATAACACCTGTGATAATAATAATAATAATCGATGATAAGAATATAAAAAAGATTAAATCTCAAATATTGAACTCATCTTTTGTACGTATTGCCCTGGAACCAGCGTATGATTTAGTTGCTTTATCTGAATCTGGTAATTACAGCAGTGCAAGTGAGTTCGAAGATGAAGACGAGGATGATGATGAGGACGAGGTTGACGAGGGGGAGGAGGAGGCGGGCAATGTCGACGATGAAGCCGACGTGTCCGTAGATGATATTGACGGGGATATTAAGCCTAATAATAAAAAGAGAGATCGAAAAAAGGCGAAAACAAATAATCCTAGTGAACCTATTTATACCGGACGATCACTTGGCTCCGAGGCTGATCTCCAATGTGAACAAGTTACAGTGCTGAGAAATGCATTGACTCGATCCACTAATCAATTAAAGCCCTTATTACCTATCCCAGGTTTATCATTTGTTATGAATTCATTTGAGGCGACTAAAAAGTTGCCTAATTCTGATGAATATTATGAATCCGTTGACTGGGTACGTGGTCCTATTCTCGGGCATGGTGCATTCTCTCAATGTTATCAAGCCCGTGATGTTAGAACTGGTCTCCTGTTGGCTGTTAAACGGATACGTCTTGGACGAAATTCTCTCTTCTCACTTTATTCATCCGATAATAATAAGAAAAAGCATCAATCAACGCCAATTCAGGATCCAGTGATGAATCATCCTTCACGTCCATTATCACCAACATCGTTGAATCAACTGACTGAAGTTGAAACTGAAGTACGCATTATGCTACAATTAGATCATCCAAATGTTCTCAGGTTATTCGGGGCTGTTCATTGTGTTAAACGTGGTTTTGTTGATCTGTTTATTGAATGGATGCCTGGTGGAAGTATTACCAGCTTGTTACAACAATATGGTGCATTCAATGAGTCGATTACACTAAATTATGGTATACAGTTGATACGTGGTTTGGCTTATCTACATAAGCATGGAATATTACATAGAGATTTAAAAGGTAATGTTAGTTATTTAAATGTTCATCGATTTATTTATTTATTTATCATTTAAATTTTCTTTCATTATGCTGATCTCGGTGTTTAGATCACTTCTCTCTGCTTGTCTGGCAAGCAGAACTTCTGGAGTGATGTGAGCACTAATTAACTACTTATATCAGTCAATCAGTAATATATAACATTATGCATATTTATGCTAACTGTCTTGATTATCATTTTTGATATCAAACAGTTTGATCACACAAAGCCAATTGATGGGATTGTGACTAGCAGTGGAATCCAGTGGGGGTGCGCATTTCGTCCTATTTGGGACTCGTTAACTGGCTGGATGTACCTGCAATCCCCAGTGACTAAGTGATGGTGTTCCCACCTAGCCTCGAACTCAATGCCCATATTTTCAAACAGCAAAGCGTTATCTACTGGATCACTTGCGCCACAAGAGCCACCTCTTGTGCAACGGATTTTATTGATTATTTAATTCAATTTCAGATTTTCCGTCGATTGATTGGACCGAAGTGCTTCGGTCTCAGGTTGACATGTGCAGATAATGCCTGGTCATGTAACTTGAAGTAAATTGGTAGATGGTGACTAGGAGTGGCCTAAGTGGTCTAGTGGATAATGCTTCGGAGTTTGAAACTATGGGCACTGGGTTCGAGCCTCAGTGGAAGCATTATCACTAACTCACTGGGGAATGCAGGTTACATCCAGTTAGCTGACGACTTCCAAGTAGGACGAAATGCGCATCCTGACTGGATCCCACTGCTAGTCACCATCCACCAACTGACTTTACGTTTCTTTTCCTTCACGTTCCCCAGTGAAACATAGGGCTTCAAGCTAGTGGCTTGAAGTTTCTGTAGCAATGTTTATTTTACAGGATAGGGTTGCTAGCCTCATGCCCAACCTTTCCTCTTCACCAGCATTATTTCTGGCTTAGCGAAGTAAAGGAGTGCGTCGGTGGCCGGGGATCGAACCCCGGGCCATGTGTATAGTCGGCGAGCGTCCTAACCGCTACACCATCGACACTCACCGACTTTACGTTACATGACTAGATATCGTCGAAGCGTCTGTACATGTCAACCTGAGACAGAGGAGCACTTCGGTTCAATCAGACGAGGGGAAAATCTAAATTGGATTAGACTGATCACACATTGTGATCTGGATAATATTTTGGTTTCCAAAGCTAACTGTGGTGAAATTTCATCTCGTAAGGCATACATTGCAAATTATGTATTTGGCTTGCAAATTACATAATAAAATTCTTTGATTTGACATTAGTTAGTAACGAATATGATATGTCTAGTCGTTTGTTTGGTACAGACTTAATTCTGTCGTAGTCAAATTTGCAATGTGGTCAGCATGCCACTAGGTAGCTCGACATCACGGTGTATTTCAAATTGCTGATATCAGATAGTTGAAGTCCAGCGGCAGGAAGCCTTTCCTGATCTAGGTTTTTTTGTGTTTGTTGGCTCTCGCCAATCAGCAAGGTGTATCTGCAGTCTTGAAGGAACTCATGTCTCCTGTGAAACTGGAACACTCATCACCTAGTACTGCAGTCATAGGCGCTGCTACTGAGCTATTTGGTGTCGTAATTGACCTCATAGATTAGTGACATAAGTCCCTTCACGATTGTAGATACTCCTTGCTGACTCGTGAGTGCGAACATGCACGAAACCTACGTCGGAGACTTTCTGCCGATTTCCTCCAACCATCTAATGACATAATTAAATGTGTAGCCATAGGCATTTGATACCAATGTCATAAGAAAAGGAGGAAACAGCAAAGAAAATTTTCCTTTCGAAGATTCATTTTGGAAATTAGGAAAGGGGCAGAAACTGTGATGACTCAATTAGTGTGAGAAAATTAGTAATCAGTATGACTGTGTAGAGTGGACAAGAATTAATGGAAAGACGATAAAGTTTTTTATAAAGTTTTATAAAATTTGTATGAAAAAGCAATGTAATTGATAAACAGTAATAGAGTGGTATTAAAATAAGGATGATGAGAATAATAATAACAGTAAACTTACTTAATAAAAGGATACAAAATTGTAATGACAACGTTGCTCTGGCCACGATAGGACAAGGGACCATCCTACCTCTGTACCACCGACACACTAGCGAGGTTAAGTAGAGCTCAACTAAAATTAAAATTGAACAAAAGTCAAGTTAACAACAGTAGTAATAAGGGGTGGGGGAAGAAAATATTATACAATTAAGGAACAAACAAACAGAAAAAAGACGCATTTGGCGTTAAGATAGATCAAGTCCAATGTAGATTTAGTAACTGAATAGACTTCTTTTCTATACAGAGTTCAGGATTTAAACCGCGATGAATTGCCATTGCTTCTACGGTTTGAAGAAGAAATTTTGATTCTTACTCTTTTAGAAAGATTCCCACGTATTCTGTAGATAAAATTTGAAGTTCGTTTGTAGGTTAGCTTGGTGTCCAAAATAAAATGTTAAACCCTACGTAGGATTCCTAATAAAGCAGGAATTAGGGTGATATTTAAACCCACAAACTCACTCAGGTAGGACAAACTCTGTAGGTTAAAGGACCCTACTGACGAGATTAGGCAAGATAATGCAATTTACAAAATACCTTGCAATGACTGTTAGGTCAACAACATAGGTCAAACTAGTAGATAGGGGATAGTCCAATTAAAACAATTAGTCCCTTTGATAAATTTGAATAAGGCATTAAGAAGACAAATTTCGCGAGTTGATATCGTCATTTCGTAGTTTCTTTACAACCGCTTTACAACCAAGATGGTTAACAATAATAAAATAAAATGCATGACAATTACTCAGTTACATAAAAAACAAAAGTACATACTAATGACCAATCATATTTAAATAGGTCAAGTATACTCACCATGGTAGGCGAAGGTTGAAGTCTATTGTTTTTTGTACACACAATTTAGGCTGTATGTGATTAATCCCCAAAAGTGCTTCCATCACCTTTAATAACCAACCTTGAATTAGAGTTATGCGATGAAATAATTGTGAAACAGTCATTAATTTTGATTTTGTGACCTGACATTAATAAGTGTTTTGCAATGGATGATGATGGTGATCGATTTCTATTCACATTAATAATTGCATTGGGACGACGACATTGGAACATTCTATTGATTCTACCCATATATGTATCTGTCACGGCAACTGCAGGTGAACTTGTAGATATAGTTTGAAGTAGAGTCCATAGAATTTCGTCCTTTCATCGTAGGTACAGTGCGATTGAAAATGTTCGAGATGTGAGGAAAAGAGATTCGGTGCCATAGAATGTGTGCACTTGATGGCTGACTGACCTAGGTCTTTGAGCTGTCAACCTTGAATGGTACAGAAGTTGTCTTTTCAAGATGTGCTTTATCCTTACTGTGACAATTGATAAAGTTTTCTAGATAACCAATTGGTTAATAAAACTGTGAATGTATTTATCGAAGCTCATCCATCAATGTGTCACTCGTGCATATTTTACAGGCCCTTGAAAACAAACATTTTACTAAGGAACGTATATACTGGATAGGGAAACAAAACTGGTGAAATGAAGCTTTTATTATTGTGAACCAACCATGTTAGTTGTAAAGCGAATCTAGAGAAACTAGAGAGATGGTGATCTCATCTCGTGAAATTTGTCTTCTAAATGCCTTATTCAAATTTAAAATATTATCTTTGTAGTGTTAAACATAGCTAAGGTGTTTTGTTATGACGTTTCGATGATTTTATTTTTTATTATAGCTTGATTCCACACAGTATTTTTGATATAAGTATGAAATTTCCATCATGTGATATTGGTAGGCCAAATTTTGCAGGCCGACCATTGATATCAGGTGGGCGTCGGTAGGGGGATCAAACCCGAGACCATGTGCATGGTCAACGAGTGTCTGTCTGTCTGTTTTCGACATAGAAATTTGCACTGATGTGCGGCAGTTCAAGTCGCCACACTCCCCACATGTAGCACACAAAGCAAGAGAAGGAAGTAGAAGAAATGCATAATAATATAGACGGTAAACAGAGGTGTGAGACAAAAGGAATAGTAATAACGAAGAACAAAACAGTTTAATTGGAAATCATAAGTCACAAGGAGTGGATGCATCTGCGCCGGCCATTGAGAACGATTTTGAGCCATGTCACCGATTGTTTCCAGTCATTGGTTTTTACTGTCCCGAGGACCCCAACCAGGAAGTCTACACCTTTCTAGGTGGCTGGCTTAGACTGACTGTTGTGGACTTCATTGACTGATGAAGCCATGTTTTGGTTTGACCGCCGCTAGCTCTTTTCCAGCCTGACCCTATATCAGCTAACATTGCCCACTGTCGAGGAAGGCGATGACTAGGTATGCATACGTAACACATGTCCTAACCATCTCAGTCGATGTAATTTCGACGAGTGTCCTTAACTGCTGTGCCACCGACACACGATGATGATGCCGATTAACCAACTTACTGATTTATAGATTCCTAAGAGCTTTTCCTGACTCTCATTTTATTAAAACTTGCTAAAATTCCACTGAACCAGTATGCATTATTTAAGATTTTCTATCTACAAACTTGTGAATATTTCAATGTGTTTGATTTTTTGTTCTCTGTTTTGAGTAATATTATTATTATCATGTAGGTGCCAATCTGTTAATCGACAGTACTGGAGCTGTAATCAAGATATCGGATTTCGGGGCTTCAGCACGTCTAAGCGGTGAACAAAGTGTTGCTGGTCAATTTCAAGGACAAGTTATTGGTACATTTTCATTTATGGCACCAGAAGTGAGTAGTATATGGTCATTTTCTATTATGTAATAAATTATCCCTCCCCCCTTTCGACGATACTCATTGAGTAATCAATCACACTGGTTTGATTAATATATATATGGGTAAAATGTCGCCACTGTGATAATAAGTAATTCCATATTAGAAAACAGAAAGATTGAGCGAAGAAATATTTACTTGTCAATTAGATCCTCATCTCACTCTGGCTCTACTCTAATATACACGTATAGCATTTTTATT